CTTCTATTTACTCTTGATTGTGGCCCATTACATCAATTTTGGCCAAAAGATCTGCTTTAGAATTGTCAGATCGTGGAATGAAATGAAAACTGATCGAGCTAAAGCCAGAAGAACATAACAAAATGTCCGATAAAATCCCATGGATTTCCGAGGTCGGCGAACGTCGGTTGATCGCTTTGATCAGCGTCTTGGAATCCGATTTGACGATGAGCTTCTCGAATTGCAGAGTCTTCGCATGCAGGACAACTGTTCTCACTGCTAGGGCTTCCGCGGCAAGAGCATATGAGATCGAAACTGAGACATGAGATAAGATTTTGATGTATCTTCCTCGACTGATTCAAATCAATCGATTTAGATGGACGTGGCGATTGCGCACCGAGTCACTCCCGAGCATCCTGAAAGGCTCTCAGGATTGTATCATCAACCGTAAATCTCCTGTTGTTGAAAACTCTTTGGTTCCTGGAAATCCATAAAGCCCAGCAGATCGAAGGTGAAAGAGCTCCTTTGTCAATACCACCAGGAGGCAAGGAGAACAAAGTCTTAACCCTTGCAAGTTTGGTATCAGAGAAGAATCAAAAGATTCAGCACTCGATCTTCTCCCTTCGGCCTCACATCTGCAACATTTTGTGCAAGAGGTAATATCCCTAATTCTTAGCTGTTCTCCTACAGGTAAAGCTCCATGAATTGCTTTCCATAGGAATATTTTGACTTTCCAGACTTGATTATTCCACTGGTGGAACCATCCTCTGCATTATTTCTTGATCTTCAGCAGCAACAAAATACCCTGACTTCGTAGAGTACTCATCCGAAGGGTTTTGTAGTCATACTAGTTTATCATTTGCTCCCAGAATGCTCAGCTTTAGAGCAAGGATTATATGTTTGAAATCTGGAAGGGTCTGATCAATTTTTTCGATGTTCCAGGTAGCTGGTTGTTGGTGAAGCAGATCACAAACCTTCATATGTTGCATTGCCTCAGGATGGGTCCCATTGGTTACATTCTTCCATCAGCAGATAACCAGGCATCATTCCGCATGTTGATACTTTTCCCATCTCCTAAGGCCTAGCCAAGTTGCTTTCGAAGTAGG